CCTGGAGACAGGGGCAGATATAGGGCAGGGCGAACGGGGCGGCCGCCCCGGGCCCCGCGCTTCAGAAAGCCTCGTGCATGCGCCGTGGCGCAGCTGCGCATGCGCATGGTGTCACTGCGCATGTGCCGTGGCAAAGGGGGGCCCCCGCGGAATTATGCTGCTTGGGACCCTGCAAAACGATCATCTGCCCCTGCCTGGAGAGATGGGAGCCGCACCCTCATCCTGCACCCCAGCCCCCTCATACACATCCTCAAAGCCTTGGCCCGGCCCAACCCTCCTGGGAGTGGGGGAGAGAGCCGGGGAAGGCCAGGGCTGCCACACCAGGGAAGGCCTGGCCCTCCGTGCCGGGGGGGTGAGGGAGAAGGGGAGAGAAGCTGGGGCTGCCTGCCCACAGAGAGGGAGGGTTGGTGAGCGTAGCAAGCAGGAGGCACTGCCCCCTGGTATCCTTTAGAGAACCAATTTCTGTTGGTAAACAAGAGACAAGCTTTTGAGCTAAGCAGATCTCCTCTTCAGTACTGCAGACATAAGACAAAGGGCAAGTCTACACTAGGAGGCCAAGCTGTTCTAAACAAGACAATTTGTGTTACATTAGTAGCGTAACTCAAATCAACATGGCTTAGCTCTGCTTACCGCAGGGTCCGCACGGATCAGAGAAATGGCAGGGCAGCGATCGTAGCAGCAGTGTCTAATATAGATCTGATAAATCCAGGGCTGATTGCTCTCCAGTATTCATCAGAAAGAGAAGAGTAAGGGGAGTGGACAGAAGAGTTTCTCCTGTTGACCCAGCATGGTGTGGACCCTGCAGTAAAGTAGATTCTAAGCTATGTCGATTTGAGTTACACTACTAACATAACTCAATTTGTGTAGCTTAAATTGTTTTGTCTCTGTGGTGTAGATCTGTACTCAGATACACAGCTGGAGCAATCTCAAAATGTCTTTGATTCCACAAACTTGGTAGGCATCACAGAATGTACTGCATTTCAGACTGTCAACGGGGCTCTAAGACAGATTTTTCTTTTAGGTGTTCAGATGAGGGAGATATTTGTCAGAGAAGGGGGGAAAAGTTGGTTAGAATGTTCCTGCTTTGTCCAAGTAGCTAACTTTCTTTGGATTTAAGCCCTCCCTCCTCCTCAAACACTGTTCTGAACTTGTAGGTTTTTAATTCAGTAGGGAGTTCACTATTACTCTCCAATGCCATTTTCTATAAAACTATACAAATAGATCATTCTTGAAAAGAAACAAGAAAGGAACAAATCAGCCTATTCTACTCCATCCAATACTGCCGATTTATTCTGTAACAGCAGGCAAGCAAGGGTTAAAAAAAACTGTATGGAGGCTGTAGGAAGTCTGTGCAGCGAACACCCGGAGAGGATTCCTAGGTTTTGGAAGACAGCATTAAAAACTTATCCTCTTGCAGAGTAGGACTAAACTGACCCCTGGAGCTGTTAGAACAGACAATGAAACGCAACAAAAACACATCGCCACCTGTGAGTGAAGACTTTTCCCACAACCATCCCTCTCTATCAGATCAATCAGTCCTCACTCTCAAAGGCAACCGGCACAAAACTTTAAAAAGATGAGCCGGGGAGTTTAAATAAAACTTTTCTCTAAATCATGGTCCCAATAGAACCACTGGAAATATGGCTTGTTACAACAGTCAAAGCGACGAGGAGTCCTGTGGCACCTTATAGACTAACTGAAGTGTAGGAGCATAAGCTTTCGTGGGCAAAGACCCACTTCGTCAGATGCATGTAGTGGAAATTTCCAGAGGCAGGAATAAATATGCAGGCCAGGATCAGGCTGGAGATGACCAGGTGGATCCAATCAAGGAGGATGAGGCCCACTTCTAGCAGCTGATCTGGAGGTGTCAGATGTAGTGTTTTACAACAGTCAGTTACCCACGAGCAATCCTCCCCTACAGCTGCTCCCCCATCCCTCTTCCTTTGCTCCCTAGGACCAGAAGACGGGAAATGGGCCACCTCGCCTTGACCGGTCCCTCCAAATGTGTGCGAACTACTTTTGCTTTTTCCAAGCGTGCATTCAGCACTGCCCGCTTCCCAGACCCGAAGCAGAGCGGAGGGTGGGTCCCTAGCTTGTCTGGCTGCCGTGCAGAAGTGGGTCCAAGTTGGAGCGCTCGCCCAGCCCGTCTGGCTGAGGCAGGGAAGGGATGCAGGTGTGAGCCAAGCGGGGCCGAGCTGAATGCTCCCGGGCCCCAGGGAGCGCTGGTGCCGCCTGCCCCTTGTTTGCTGTAAGGGCAGAGAGGGGGGGGTGCAGCTG